TTTTTATTAATTTGGAATAAAACATAAAAAAACGCAACCCATTAGATACAATAAATATAACATATTGCAATATGACAACAATTCGTTAACATACACAAATGCACGAATAAAATTGTTCACGATACATCTGTTTATTTTTCTTTGACACCAAACCTTTGCTTAATTTCACTGTTGCCAACTTCCAGCTTTTCGCACCAAATTTAGTGGGTATTCAAAACGCGAAAATTTTTGAGTTTGGTGCTTGGTGCTTTGGTTTTAGTTTGAAAACACCACATTTGCAAATCTTAAAAAAATTGAAGCAAATCTTATAACAATCGTGGGTGTGGTAAGCAACTCTACAAAAATTTTAACAAAATCATGGCACAGTGGCAATCATATGCGAGAACACAGTATGTGGCAGCACCTTCAATCATGCCAGAAGAAATCGACCTTCGTGTAAGAAACATTGATTTTTATTAATTTGAGTCGGCATCCTTACAATAAAATTATGTTTGCATTAAAGTCCATTAAATACACCAATAAAAATTTGGTGCTTTTTCAAATTCAAAACTTGGCAATACTGCCGTTTGTTCGATGCTTCTTCTTTTTCTTGTTGAGTTCGTCTTGCTCTCTCATTCTGATATTTGTAGATGTCACGCCCGGTTGCTCTCAGCTCGATTGGCGTAATCTTATATTATATCATTCTTGTCATCGCGTCCTGTATTCTTTCTTGTATTCGTAGACCTTTTAATGTTAATCTTGCCCTCTCCCTCCTTTCTAAGTGTTATATTTAGGTGTTTTCGAAGTCTGCTATCCTTTGCATTTTATTTCGTAAACAACATTGTCTGCTGATTTTGTCTTTTGTTTTACTGAAAATTGTGCTAAGTGTGTAGTTTGGTTTGTGAGCAAAGGTAATATTTTCGTTTCGAATGTTTTTGTATAATATTTTATTGCCGTTAATCCATCTATACATGTATGTGACTCCAGCAAATTTTTTGTGTTCATGTTTATTTACAGCTTCTCATGCATGCTCATGCTTGCTGACTTTCCTTTACTTATTGTTGTTGCTATAAGTTTACTTATTATATTATTAGGGCACCCGTTTTTTGTAATATGTTCTTTCTATCTTTCTGTTTTTTGCATTACTGAACTCCTGGTCTCTCAACCCTTTTTATGAGATTTATAGCAGTGTTCCTCTTTTGCGTCCAGGGGGGATTCGAGTGATAACACGGTGCTTCAGTGTCATGAAATACACCCGAAACAAATCCTAGTGTAGGTTGTAGCTATGATCGAGTGCAACATGAAAATGGTTTCCGTATAGTTCCTGAACCCTCCATTTTTTCTATTATTAAAAAAAAACCGTTATGTTCGTACTTGATGAACTTGTCTATTAACAGATTGACTATTTTTCATCCGATTTAAAAACCGAAAATATTTTGAAAAGAGGATTTATAGGCCTTTAAAATGAGTAAAACAGTATATTGTTAGACTTAGTTAAATTAAATAAGCCCCTATTTTTCTTAACTTTTTAAACTTTGACCGTCGCTGATTTCAAATATTTCTAAGAAAGTTGCTAAACATGTAGTATTTACCAAAAATAACATTTATGTTCTAATAAATTTATACCTCACCTAATCGAATTGCATAAAAGTTGTCAAAGTTAAGCAATTAAAGCAAAAATATAGTCTTGAACTTATATGTGTATATGTGCTAGGGTAATTGACTCGGTTTTTCCAAACCGGTTTCCATCGTTTTTTCGGAAACATATTTCTGGATTTTTCGAATATCGAATAAACCGGAATTTTTGATCGAAGAAACCGGGTTTTTTCATTTCATCCAAATCTTGACCTATGAATAAGACTTTTAGGTTTTTCAAAGTTTTGCAGTTTAAGGGAAGCCCCTGAATAGTTTCAAAATTATATCCTAGATTATTTGGGGATGAACAGTATATCATATTTGATTGTAATAAACGAATGCTTGGCACTTAAAAAAAAAAAAACCCGCGGGCGTTATTGCCTTTTCGAAAACGATATTAAGCCCGCACGCTTTATTGCCTTTTGCCGGTGGGCATTATTTCCCTTTCGATATGGCAATAACGCCCGCGGGCATTATTTCATCTTTATTGTGGCTCTTGTCTCCATTTTAGAATATATGTACATCCAAAACCCTCTGTTCTAAATAAAAACTAACTAATATGATAACATTGAACTAAATATTTGTTTTCCTTTATTATACGAACAAATTTAATTTAACTAATTTCAATGCATATATTTAATTCATATGTATGTATGTACATGCGTATAAAAATTAAATAATTCAAATTTTCAACAAAAAAAACTCGATAAGTGCACCAGTGTTTTTTATTGGAAAAATAAGAAAACAAAAGCACCAGATTTTAGTTTGAAATACAATTAAGTTTGGCGGTTTATTTAATATGAATATTAAAATTCAAGGGGGCTTACAATATTACCTTGCTTGTGAAGTGGTGTGGTGGCGGAACGTCCGTGATCGCTGGTGATTAAAATCCAATAGAAAGTCTAAAGAATTAGAAACTGAAGTCGAACCCTCTAAACGCTTTAAGAGTTCCGTTTTCAGGGGAAATTTAACGAAAGTTCACTGACAGGAAAAGTGCAGTTTTTCTTTTTGTCTTGTTTCACATACGAATGTGTATGTGTGTGCATCTGTTAAATTAACATTAGGGTGGTACACCCGATATTTTAATTTAAGAATTTGATTTAGCGTGGAGGCCTAAACATACCGGCCCCTTGCTATAAGCAACGTCTCAAAGATGATTCAGCCACCACACCTAATTTTACATTTATTTACATTGTAAATTATGTTCTTTCACATTGTAAGTTCTGCCGCAGGTTAGTCCTTGCCCGGGGATCTAGTCCGACCCTTCTCCGGTCCTCATTGCAGTTACTAGCTAAGGGGAAAAAATGGAAGAAAAAAGCTAATAAGGAAAAAGGGTGTGGTTGATCATTTCATTGCACTTTTATTTAAATTCGGTATGTATTCATGAATACTAAATATAAAATTTTAAATGTTTTGTCACATTTGGTGAGCTCCTGATATAATCAGCCCGAACATGGAAGCTTGCGCCAGTAAACCGCCGATCGTTGTTGGCGGAGTGCCACATACCATGACCTGGGCGTACACATCAGCGCCAAGTGTTAGTCGAGTGGGGGTGGCCCGATAGAACTGTGGATCCGCCAGACGCATAAATTGAAACGGCGTCGCTATCGTTGGGTCGATGTTAGCCGCGGGGCTGAGTCGGTTGTATCGCGTAACTAGCCTGGCCTGAGTATTTACCCGTTCCGCGACCCCGTACTTTCCTCGCAGCACGAGGGAACATGTTTTCGCGCGGGCGTTGCTGGCTTCGAGCTGAAGCTCCCGTGCTAGGTCCCTGTCGATGGTACTGCTGGGGGCGCAAGAGTCAATCAACGCCCGCACCAGATGAAGTCGGCCGCCTGACTCGATCCGTACAATTGCGGTTGGGGCGATGGCTACGAATGAGCGCATTATTGGTGCTGGAACTGCGATTGTTTTTAACTTGCCTGTCCGGAATCCACCCGATGGAATGCGTTCGATGGTGAGGGAGGAACGGTCGCGTGAAGCGAGGTATTCTGTAAAGTTAAACCCCCTTTTTATGGCCGTATGCACAATTATGGTTCATTGTGTATTTTAAACCTTAGCTGGGTGGCAAGTTATACATATATACATACGCATATTTAATTGCTAATATGATTTACATTTCTTTTACTATTTTTATTTTATTTTATTATTATTATTATTTTTTATTTTTTGAGGACTAATTCCATGCCCTGCAGTGTATAGTGGCTGAATAGTAATTCGCTTATCTCGTACAATAGGTGAGAGAATGGCTATGGTGTGTTTACCTTGGCCTCCCACCCGAAAGATTAAACAATTTCATTATTTGTTCGCATGGTGCGGAACTTCGCTGAATCGGTTAAACCGCAAGTGCTTATGAATGTGCTTGGTAATATCACAATTTTAATGATTTATTTTGATATTACTAAAATATAGGGCACGTCAAAATTGATTCACTCACGATTTTATAAAAAGAAAATTCATATGTGCTAAGCCTTGCTTTGTTTCGAGCAAATCCAAGTAGCAGGGAATAAGTTGCGTAGTAGATTTTTAGTTTTGCGATCGTAGGAGAGTCCCAACCCTGGCTGCGTTGTCAACCAAGAGCGTAAATTGACATTTACGTTCTTATGTTAGAGATGTGATAGTCAACACATATGAGTATTCATATTCCGTACCGATTTAAAGGTATCCGGTACTTTCGATACTCGGTGTCGGACAAAAAAAAATAATAATAATAATAGTTTTATAATATACGCACGACAGCCAAACATATGGAAGTATTTTTGAGAGGTAAAGCCCATTAGCGAACTTTTATATATATATATATATATATATATTTTTTTTTATTGTAAATACTGATTTTTTTTTATTGTAAATACTGATTTTTTTTATTGTAAATACTGATTTTTATTTTTTTTATTGTAAATACTGATTCCACACCGCGCCTTTACGGAGGGAAGAACGAAAATTAGATAAAGTTATTAGTTAAGTTATCGAAGTTTCAGTAAAGTTATGTGAAAAATTATTATTCCTTTGAAAAAATGGACTGGTAAAATTATGCAACAAGTGATTTAAGTGTGCTTATATTACCAAGGTATAATGCATTGAATCGGTATCGGTTAGCAACACCGAAACTTTGGGTACCGAGTATTGCGGCAACTTTGCACATCACTATTTTTAAAATGACACTTTCATCCATGATAAAAACATTAGAAGGTAAAACCATTCTCTCAATTCGTCGGCCATGATTTTTTTCTGACGTTTGCAAACATTTTAAAATCATATAAAATTGAAAATCAAAAAATGAAATTGTTCACAATTGTTGTTGTTTGAGATTAAAAATGAGAATTTGTGTGTGAGCCTGAGCTCGAATTTTAAAATTATATTGTTGGCAAACGTCAGACTGCCTCTCAATGATTTTACCTTGTAATGTTTTTATCATGCTTTCATCGATGTCAATTGCAGCACATATAAGAATTTCCTGAATGGCACGAGTGTTTACGAGGCGGTAAGTTGCGTATTTTTGCTTGTAGTATTTTAATTTGATAGTTTTTGTCCTTCCTTTCAGCTCTCGTTGGAAATATACCACCCAGAACATTCATTCACTCAAGTACAGCATATTTGACACTCATAACCGAGTTCGCCGGAAAGATGAATGGGGAATTCTTGTATGCAGAATGGAAAGTGCGGAATTTTCATATGCAGGCGCTACTCGCAACACCAATTCCTCTCGGAAAAAGCAAACCAAGTATCGCGAAATATGCATTAATCTAATATGAAGCTTTTATTCAACCCAAATTATCTAGCTAATATCTTTTCTTCTTTACAGCGCTTTTCGCCTTCCGTCTTTGCCATCTTTGACCCTACTTGGTTATAATTCATCTAAAACGTGCTACATCTTTTATATTTGGGTACTGAATACACCTAAAATAATAAAAACTTCAAGAAATCTTTGGGAATTATGCTATTGTTCTGCCCGACTTTTGGTATTATATTAATGGTTGAACAGGATACAGCAGGGTACCGATTTTCAGGCAATACCTGCCCATATATATGTAATATTAAACGAAAAATTTCAACTCGAACATTTCCACGATTGAAGGAAGTTGATCATATCATGGGTGGTGCAGCCGCATTGAAAATGTAGATTCCACCCAAGCTGAATGTCCTGCGTGCTCTCAAAAAATCTTATTTTATGCAAATGCAGACCCGGTCTGCAGATGACCCAATGACCACATTTTATAAGTGTTGCCGAAACTTTGGTGAGTGTTAACTATCTTTTGCCTGGATCTAAGTTTTTGCATTCATACATATGTCCATAGTTGCCAACTTGGTGCCTTAAGCACCAGATTTAGTGCTTTTTGAAAATTTAAATGCCAAAAAAAAATTATTTAGTGCCTAGTGCCCTTTTTAGTGCTTTTTTTCTGAACTAAAATTACTTCGAGATAGTTAAAACCTGCAATAATTTAAAATATTTAAGGTTGTGGCAGCACTGAATTTACAAGAATCTACAAATTGAAATGGACTAAAATACAACCATGATTGATAAAAAAGTTGCAAACCCACCTTGTTAAATTCTATTCACGTTGAAAATGCTAGTACGCAAGTATGTTAAGTATTTGTTTTTCTTTTTTCTAATTATTTGTAAATTTTTTTCTTTTTGCCACCTGAGTAAAACACATCGTTTCTTGGTGCTGAATCCAAATCTGGCCTCACATTTGCTCTAGCACTAGAATAATGAGATATCCTAACCTCAAAGTGCCAAAGACACGGTTTTTAGAGATATTTGAGGTTATATAATGAAAACATCAAATTATTTGCTCATTTCTAATCAGGGCATCATTTTCGTTTGATGCGATTCGATTTTTCTTTCTCGAGATATACCAGTTTTAATGTGCAGTACTTCGGCATTATGTTATGAAAAAAGTATCCCTTGATTCAAAAAAATTTGGTGCTTTTAGTGTGGTAAAATGCTTTTTTTCAAGTTTTTGGTGCTTTTTGAAAATGAAAAGATGGCAACACTGCATATGTCTACATATTTTGTTGAGTAGGCATGGTCGAATGTATATTTCTATTGGTATCATATATTTCTATTGGGGCCATAAATTAGTTCTAATGTCTTCGAAGCTTCGAGATTCGAATTTGAGTCGAATTTTAGCTCCAAACTGGCGAATTTTCGAAATCGAACTTTGTGGTGCTGAAATTCGGATAAAAATCGAATTTTTTTTTTTTTTTTATAAACAAAAAACGAATTTCGTCTTTCTGACGCATTTGCCAAAAATGTGGCTCGAATAGAACTGCTCGTCTTGTTTACTTAAGTATGTAACGTGAAGTTCGTACAAATCTCTCTTGCTCTTGTAGAGCACGAAAAAATAAAGTACATTATACTTCTCAAAAGATTAGTTTCAATATACATTTTGTTAATTTTTAATTTATACAACGAAAATACATATAAATTTTTGGATTTTTCGCTGATATATTTTGAGAAAGAAATACTTGTTATTTGTTTTTACTTTTGGTTGTGAAGATAGGCTGCGGATAATTAATCACTTCAGTGTAAGTTCAATTGCTGGTCTCTTTTTCGATTTGAACTATCATTACAGACAAACTTTTAAATTTTTCAGTAAAAGGTTGTTGAAAATTTGAAAAAATACAAATTAAATCGAATTTGTATCACCATTTATCGAATCGAATAATTGAATGGTTGGGTAATGTTCGACATTCGGAAGAAATCGAATTTCAACCTTATCTGAACCTGGGTGTAGGTTAACGATTCTACCTAATCTCCACTCGTTAGGTGGTAGGTTGTTTTCCTTAATAACGACGAGGTCTCCATTTTTCAAGTTGGCTTGTGGGTATTTCCACTTATTGCGCTTTTGGAGTTCCGACAGGTATTCTGTTTTCCACCTCTTGCAGAACGTATGGTGTAGAGCCTTCAGTCTTTGCCAACGATTCACAATCGACGCACGGTGTTCATCAGCGTCGATTTCAGGAGGAGCAAGAAGGTGCCCGCCGACTAAGAAGTGACCTGGAGTAAGTGTCTCTAAGTCTGAGGGTTGGTTTGAAGAGGGACTGTGGGGTCGCGAGTTGAGGCATGACTCAACTCTGCATAGAAGGGTCGTAAATTCTTCGAATGTATATTTATAGTTTGAAGCGATTTTTGTGAAGTGGCATTTAAAACTTTTGACTCCCGCCTCCCACAATCCACCCATGTGGGGAGCTGCGGCGGGAATGAAATGCCATGTAAGCATTTGATGGGTGTATTTTGTTATGGTGTTATTGCGGGCATCGGCCATAAAGGCTTTGAATTCTAATCTTAGCGATCGCGAAGCTCCGACAAAGTTGGTACCGTTGTCGGAGTAAACATTTTTTGGGCAACCTCGCCTCCCCACGAATCTTGCAAATGCTGCCAAGAATGATTGTGTGCTTAAATCAGAGGTGGCTTCCAAATGGATCGCCTTGGTTGCAAAGCACACAAGCAGACATACGTACCCAGTGGCGGATTTATCGTACAGGCAACATAGGCTGAAGCCTAGGGCGGCAGAATTAAGGGGCGGCAAAATTTAAGACAGCTAAATTAAAAGAAAAAAATTTATTTGGATTCAGCTGCACTTGAAATTGTGTTTGTGTCTGTAAAATATTATTAATGATTCATCTCATTCAATACAATTCAAAATTAGAATTACGCTGCGAATTTTTCCTTAGTATAGCAGTCGTTGAAATTTCCATTTAACTTTCATTCACGCGGCTTAGAAACCTGACGGCGCGCCTGCGCGTGACGCAAAGAAACAGCCGACACGCTGCCCCGAGAACGAGAATCATCTAAAAGGTTACCACACTTGACAACACTGCCGAAAAACGAGCGTGCATTTTCGAGAAAATTCTTGATTCCAAGCCCACCAGTTTTTCATAAGTGTATCATAACGTAAATAATCTGAAGGTCAGCTTCGCGTGAAAAACTATCTCAGATCTTCATTGAGCGAAAACAAACTGAATGCTCTTGCGTTGCTGACTATAGAGTCAGATTTGTTTCTATCTATCGATTGTGAAGATATTATCCGCGAATTCGCAGCTGAAAAATCAAGACGTAAAGAACTGTGAAAAAGAAGTGTTTGAAAGAGGGTTTTTGTTGAATACCTTATCCATGCTGATGTCGAATTTGTTAATTCCGTTATGTATTTCATTATTAACGAACTATATTGTAATAAAGCACTGACAATAACAATCATATTTGATATATATATATATATTTTTTTTTTCGTGAAAAAAGGGCGGCAAGTTATGAATTGCCTAGGGGCGGCAAATATTTAAATCCGCCACTGTACGTACCCCTTAGACACCCTGCAACCTCGTCCGTTGTAGTTCTTTATGTCGAAAGGTCCGGTGAAGTCGACACCTGTGTTAGTAAACGCGCGTGAAAATGTGGTGCGTTCTTTAGGAAGAATGCCCATAAGCTGCGTTTGCGACTGTTTTCGGTAGATCGTACAGATCTTACAGTTGTGAATTGTCGATTTGATCATATTCTGGACACGAGGTATCCAATATTGCGTTCTAATCAAGCGCAACATAAGCTGATTTTCACCATGCAGTGACACTTTGTGAACGAACTGGACTATAAGACGAGACAAGTTGCTATTATATGGAAGGATAATTGAGTGGCGCTCGTTATAAGCGAGATCTAAAGATTTTCCAAGGCGACCACCTGTCCTAATTATATTTTCCTAGTCGATGTATGGGTTCAGGGACAAAATTTCACTTTTTGGACTTATTAATTTTGCCGATCTCAGTGATGAGTACTCCTGACCATAATGCTGCTTCTGGCAGATAATTATTAAGCGTTGAGTCGTTGCTTTGATTTCATCCGCTGAAATCGAACAAGATTCCGCTTGAAATGAAGCTCTAGTGTTACGGCGAGTTCTTTGGGAGAATCTCAGTACGTATGATAGAACTCTGAAAGCTCTCGGTAGATCGGAAAATCTTTCAAGAATATCATTACTAATATCGACTGCCGTGGTCGCATGAACCTGTACCCTTTTTTGTTCTAACTGTGTCTTATAGTCCTTTTCCTGTGTGGGCCATTGTGTTCTTTCTTCTTGCAACCAAGAAGGACCCTCCCACCACAAGGAACAGGTTACCAATTCTTGCGAACTAATACCCCTGCTAGCTAAATCTGATGGATTTGATGCTGAATCCACATGGAGCCAATTTTGGCTTCCAACTTTCTCAATGATTTTTGTTACGCGATGGGCAACAAATGTTGACCATGAGCAGGGAGGTTTCCGAATCCAGGCTAGGACAATAGTCGAATCTGTCCACAGATGTGTGGTAAACTGAACTAAAGTGAGATTGCTAACGATCGATTCAACCAGTTCTGCAAGCAGAACATCACCGCACAGCTCCAATCGTGGTAAAGAAATAGTTTTGACCGGTGCCACTCTGGACTTAGCCAGTAGAAGATTTACAAATGCATTTTCCGCTTTTTGAACCAGAAGGAAAATAGTGGCTGCGTATGCCTTTTCTGAGGCATCGCAGAAGCCATGAAGTTCGATTTTATCTGTATGAGAAAAGTATACCCAACGAGGAATACGAATTTTGTCGATGTGGCAGTAGCTCTCTACAAAGTTTTGCCAACGATCGGACGATGCAGTTGAGACAATTTCGTCCCAACCTGTTCCTTCCAACCAAATGTCTTGCATTATAATTTTTGCTGTAACTACAAATGTCGCGAGCCATCCTAATGGGTCAAATAATTTTGCAATAGCCGAAAGTATTGCTCTTTTTGTAAAGCGATCCTCAGTCTCCAATGGCTTGGCAGTAAAATAAAACTTATCAGAATGGGCGTTCCATCTGATGCCCAACGCCTTGACGGTACTGGTGTCCTCAAAATCCAAAAAATCTTCGTTTAGAAGGTGTGATTTGGGTAATCCTTCCAGTAT